TTGATCTCAGAGAGGAAGGGAGAGGAAGAGAGGTAGAAACATCAATGATGAGAGAGAATCAATGATTGGCTGCCTCCTGCACGCCCCCACCCCCACTGGGGATTGAGTAGGCAACCCGGGCACATGCCCTTGACCAGAATCGAACCCAGGATCCTTCAATCCACAGGCTGATGCTCTATCCACTGAGCCAAACCAGCTAGGGCCAGAAACACAGGCTTTTATTAAAATATACAGTATCTTAAAAAGGAGAACTTGAGGCAATCTTTGTGTTATATACAATAAGAGAATCATGATACTTTCAGATGATTTTTTTGGTTCTAATATTACATTTTTGAATTTCTTCTTCATCCCTGTTCTCCTTGACATCAGTCACTCTGTCAAACCCTAGAACCAGGAACATAAAGAAGATCACAAACACAAAGAATATTCTGAGCAATTACAGATTTAACTCATGACCCTGCAAAAGGAGCCCTGAGGCAAGATACCATATTCCTTCCCCTCTTTTTCTTGTCCATATCTTACCATTTACCTTCACAGACATTAAGACATTACACTGTGATTTCTAAGGCCTTCGTTCTCCCTTAGTGACCTTTGAGGGAACGATCTTGTGTAAGCTGGGACCAAGGAGGAACTTCCTACACTTAAGGATTCCAGACGCTGAACAAAGGCCTGGGAGAGGCTCTTAGTACATTATGTAGCAATGGGTCTAGGCTGGGCCCAGCACTCGTGAGAAGACAGTAACCACCTCTGGAGCAAGGACTAAGTCCTTACACCTGTGTGTCCCTTCTTACTTTAGAGGTGAAGCCTTTGGCTGCTTGTGAGTAGGAACTGGAGACTGTTCTGTGTGTCTCTCAGACAAGGGTTCCAGGAAGGAATGCTTACTCTGAATTGCTAAATTTCCATCAAAGGACTTGTTTTCCTCCAGGAATTCTCCCTCTATCCAAATACTGGCCAAGCAGGTGTCCAAAGGCCTGATGATGTTAGTCAAGGATATGACTTCTCTCTTTCCATATCTCATTACAGAGGCTTTCAGCTCTGAGACCCACCGGTGATAGACAGGGCAGGTCACACATCGAGAGAAGAACTCCTTAAAGTACTGAAAGGAAAGGAGGGTCCATTAGCTCAGGGATTAGCACTTTCCCTCCCTCCATCCCACTCTGTCAGCACTTACAACAGCCCCCACTCAGCACACTCACTCAGGCTGGGGGAACAAGGACGAGTTATTGGTGGGAAAGTAGGCACAGAAAGTTGGTTTGAACAGAGGAACTAGAAAGCAGGGCTGTAGGGAGATGTGCCAAATTACAGACTAGCCAGAATGGGTCCACTGAGAAGGGCTGATGGTTAACGTTTCAATGGTGTTGGGCAGTAGCTGTGCAAAGGTTTCTCCTGCCTTTGGGATCCAGTCCTGACCTACGTGCAGGAATATCCGGGAGGGTACATGAGGTAGGCAGAAAGACTTTCTAGGTGGAGGGACAAAAGAATTCAAGGGGACAAAAGAGACAGGCAGCAAAGAGAAGAGTAAGGGACAGATGCAGGTGGCAGAATGAGTATCACAGGGTCAAACGCTACCTTAACTGTTAGTTGAAGGACAGTAGAGAAACAGGTACCTTTAAGACTTGACTCGGAGTCTCTGGGGCAATGTGCATGAAGACACCCTCTGGCACTTTCTGTAACATCAGCACATGGCACTCTAGGAACCGGACAAAGCCATGTGAACCAAACAGTGAGGCATTGGTTCTTTTCACCAGCTGGCGAGCCTTGGAGAAGTGGTACTCAAACAGGTTCCACTCTGAGTCCTGGGCAAACCTGGAGGGAAAAACATCGCAGCTCTGAGCTCTGTCCCCTGCTTACTAACCATGGCTATTTCATAGAAGCCTCCTTTTCTAAAGCTCTGAGACCTCCTTGATAGTGAGAATTGTGATGCTAGGAAGTGGCCAAGGTTACTAATTCGCATACAAGTTACTTTCTTGCATGTAAGTCGCAAGCAAGACTTAAAAGAGGACTATTGATATTCAGCCTTGCCATGGGTTATCTAGCACTTACACGTAACCCCAAACTTAACCCTCAACCTATAGGCCTTAGACCTGTTGAAGAAAAAGAAGAAAAGAAGATCTCTTCTAGTAAGATGGGGATGGGAGGTGACAGTATTTAGAAGTGGGTCAGAGATGTGAAATAATGACTTCATAGTGTCCTTAAATTTCTACCCTTTCCCACAGACCCGGAGTAAGACTGGCAACACACATTACCACATGGCCAGAGAGGAGTGGACCCCCAGCATCACATTGCTCTGAGAGGTTAGAACGCAGCTATGCTCATAGCATTGAATGAAACGCAGACACTCTCCAAAGGGCTGGCACAGCAATCCTGTGGACAGAGAAGGTAGCCAGGCTACTAGAGGCTGTCCATGTAGGAACGGGGAGGAGGTATATGTAAGGCAGACACCCCTGAATCACAATGTGGTTCCTAGACTTTGCAGAGCCAGGAGCTGGGAGCAGAGGCCATGCCAGGGGCCAGCTCATGACTGCCTGTGTTCCCAACCTCAGGCCCCATCTAAGGTCTGAATCCCTCAGGAGTACAAAAGAGCCATGCACAAGATTTACCTTTCCCGTAGAGCAGCAGATCTAAGCAAGCGGAATAGAAGCAGGCCAGGCCAAGGATATCATGACCCTGGGAAATGAGCGCCCACTGACTGTCCAGCACATGGACACACAGATCAAATCTGCCGAGAGACAGAGCCACTGGGACCAGCTAGGGAGTGGGGAGCACAGTGCAGGACGGGAGGGGATCTTACACCTTCCAAATAGCCTAACATCCCGTGCACCTCCTCTCCACAGCTCTATTTTTATACAGAGAGCATCTGTACCTGGGACCAGAGCTCTCTCTAAGCAAAACAAGTGGGAAAATGCCTCTAAGACAGTTTCCAGGGTCTTGAACTACTGCAATTCTCTACCTCCCTAAAGGAAAAGAGAGAGAGAGAGAGAGAGAGAGAGAGAGAGAGAGAGAGAGAGAGAGAACTCATGGACACAGACAACAGTGTGGTGATTGTGGGACTGGGGAGTGGGGGTAGGTGGAGGTAGAAGAGGGTATAGGGGGATAAATGAACATGGAAAAAATAAAATGAAGAAAAAAAATTTATTTAAAAAAAGGAGCTCAGACTGCGCTTCCCACTGCTAACCCCCACACCTAAGACAGTGCTTCCTGTAGTAACAGGAGAAGAGACAGCTGTGGGAATGAACAGCTGTCTCTTCTCATCTCATCTTCTCTGGGAGATCATACCCTTCCCTCTTAAGCAATGAATAGAAATGAAAAAAAAATGATCTTAATACTTCTTCTTGAGAAATGCAGATCTAAAGAGAACTGAGAGAACCAGATTCTGCAGAGCTGGTTTCCGGAGGTGCCCGCATATCTCATGAGCTTGAAAACCTGAGGAGGTAAGAGCATTGTGAGATCTGGCTATGAGTCTGGCCTCTCTGAAGGCCTCAGGCCCACCAGCCCCAAGCCCCATTACCCAGCTTGATGGAGAGGTCAAGGTGGCCGAGACAGAGCTTGGTGTAGGCCAAGGTCTGCATGAGCTGCGCGATGGCCAACAACCCCTCTCTGGAGAACCAGCACAGGCTGCTTTTCTGAATGGCCATCTGTTCGCAGTGCAGCCACTTCTCCGTGTCACCCACGTTCTGGGAGAACTGGGAGAGGGCCACATAGGTAGAGACAACCTGCGGGGCAAGAGCATAGGGCAAACATTCTGGTTGTGCATTTACACTACATTCCATCCCATCCCTCTTCTGCATAAGTGCCCATGCTGGTGCCATGCTGCTCATGCGGTCAGGACTCCTGGTGTCCCTACACTCACCTCCACTCCAGCTATGAAGACATATCCTCCTCACCCTTACACTTCTAATTTGATTATTCTCACTGTCTGTTCTTTAGACAAACAATTTTCTCAACCTGCCCCTCGTCTTTTTCTCCAATCCCAGACTTTCCCTTGTAGAACATTGGCCAAACCTCATCAGTGTTGTCTCTAATTAAGGTCTCCGATTTTTGCTCTTTAGAGCTCTTCAGCATTGCTGCTAGGTTCCTGGTATAACTGTGTGCACATCTGACATGGTTGATGACTCTCTTCTCAAAGTAGTTTTCAGTAGGTCTTCAGGACATCATACTCTCTCAGTTTCCCTCTCATTTCTCTGGCAACTTCTCAGGTTCTTGTGCTGGTTTCTCCTTATGACTGACCTCTTCACACTGGAGCTATTAACTCAGTCCTTGGACCTTTTCTCATTCTCTTGGTGATCTCACCGAATTTCCTGGCTTTAAATACCATTTATACACTGATGATTCCATATTTCTATTTCCAGCCCAGACCTCTCTCATGAACCCACAGTTTATATTCAGCTGCCTACACATCTCCACCTGGATGTCTAATGGACATCTCAAATGAAATCTGTCCAAAACCTTTCAGCCAGTCTTCCCCCAAATCTGTTCCTTCTACAGACTTCCCCATCCCAATTAAGAGCATTTCCATCCCTCTGGAAGTCCACACTGCAAATCCTGGGATTATCCTTGACACTTCCCTCTCACATCGAGGAATTAATCTGTGAGCGAATCCTGTTGGCTCTCTCTCGAGAGAAGACCACTCCTCCCCATTTTCTCTGCCACCACAAGCCAAGCCGACCATCTCTTGCCTGTGTTATTGTAATGGCCTCCTAACTGGTCTCCCAGCTTCCTCTCTTGCCCCTTTCAGTTTATTTTCAATATGGCAGCCAGAATAATCTTATTAAAATATAAGTAGCTCCTGTCCTCCCTCTTCTAAGAACCCACCAAAGGCTTTCCATCTTCTTTACAATAAAGGCTGAAACCACTACAGTGGCCTATAGGGCCTGCAGGATCTGCCACCCACCCCTCCCTCTGACTCATCTGCTTCCTCTCTCTCCTTCCCTCCTTCCCCTCTAGTCACACTGGCTGTTCCTCAAACACAGAGGGCATGCCCTATGCATTCACGGTGCCCTCTGCCTTACACTCTTCTCCCAGATAGCCATGCGGCTTACTTTCTCGCCTTCTTCAGATATTCGCCCAAATGTTACCTACTCAGTGAGGCTTTCCCTGACTGCCTTATTTAAAACAGCACCCACCACTCCTAGATCCCCAGGTCCCCCTGCCTCCACTTATTTTTCTTCATGACATTTATTATCACCAAACATACCATATATTTCACTTTTCTATTATCTATTTCCCTGGAACCAAGATCAGTGCCAGGACCTAATAGGTGTTCATCAAATATTTGTTGAACAAATGGGAGAGAGAGAGAGAGAGAGAGAGAGACAGACAGACTAAAATTAGGAAGACACACTTCTCTTCCTTCTTTTCCCTAAGTTAGCAATTAAAATCCTTTCTTTAGATCATGCACTTCTTTGAGAATCTGATGAAAGCTATGACCCCTTCCCGACCTTCCACCACTCCCCAAATGTACACACACACACACACACACACACACACACACACACAGTTCTACATTCAGTTCAGTGAGTTCCAGGCAGCTTCATGCCTGGAAAACTCATCTATAAACTGCAAGTTGAGAAACCCTGCTCAAACCCATGGTCAGTGGCGTCCTACTAAATGTGGGTTATTGTGGGACCATGCAAAACCCAGGAACTTGGCAGCGTCTGTCTCCCTAGCATTTCAGGTTTCTGAGTAGGTCTGGGGGTAAAGCAAGGACTGGTTTACCTGAGCTTCATTGGCAAACTCCTCGGCAGAATTCTTCTGCATCAGCGTGGCCAGGCAGGCAAACCTGCGGCTGCTGGCTGTGGCCTCCAGGTTATAGAGCTGCCAGAGCAGGGAGAGGCACTGCACCTGCTGCTGCAGGACTGCCAACTTCTTCTTACTGCTGTGAAGCACAGGGTGGTTAGCATGCCTTATTCTTCACCAGTGCCCAACTGTCCCTCCCCACAAGAAATCCAAGTCTACTCCTCCACGGGCCAGCTACAGACTTCCAAACTCAGAAGTGTTTCTGGGATCCAACTACTTCTAACCTTTTGACCTTTTAAACTCATCGCTCTTGACCAGGAAAAGTTCAGAGAAGTTTTTAAATAAAGGTTTACTCTTTGAATTGCTATTTTGATTAAATATATTTCTTTTAAATGACTATAGCTCAATAACTAGGTAGCAATTTTTATATCAGACAAATATTAAATTGCTACCTAGTTACATATCTGTATATCCATGTATGTACACACACACACCTATCTTTATTTGAAAGAGACAGGGTAACACCACACTCTCAAAACCAAAGTCCTCCTTCTGTTACATCTAATTGGCTAGGAAAGTAAGGCAGAACTAGAACTGTCTGTGATATGCTTTAAAAAAGGAATCTGAGGTCAATATGGCAAAATTCTAGGCTGGGTCCTACTTTAGTTTCTCTGTGGCCCTAAAGGGGACCAGCGCAACTTGGCCAGCTTCTCACTTCTCACTAGGGTTGTCTGCAGGTTGGCTCAGGGAACGGGGATGCCAATATTTTTCCAGGAATGTTTGGAAAAGGACACCAAACCAGGTCCAAGGGAAATTCTTTTTCAGCAGTCGGAGAGCTTGCTTAGCCAGTTTTTTGGCCAAGGTGATCTGTCCCATGTTGAAACAGACCTAGACATGGGAAAATAAGAAACAGTAATGCAAATGTGGGAAGAGCAACCTTGATATAACACACTGGCTCTTCTATTTTGGGATGTGCACTTAGGGCCAATGAGGTGCTAGAGTGAGTGCGTTGAGTTGGAGCAGAGCCTGGCTACTCTATCAAGCACTAGTAGGGCCATGAGCAAATAAAGGAGAAAACAGGGTTAAGGAGAAAGTACCCCCCACATTGTCAGTGAGCAGTAGAGGAAGGTTCTGGTTTAGAAAGTGATGCTGCTAGACTGAGGTGGGATTGTCATTTGGGCAAGGATTCAGATGCTGCGGAAAGCACCAGAAATATCACCTCACATATAAAGATACATAACACTGGGGAGGGACACTGGGGAAGGGACACAGTGGCTAAGTGACAGGGTTGGGGAGATTTTCAACTATATGGTTTTTTTCTTCTAGCTTTATTAAGTATATTAATGTGGGCAATGTGATTTTTTCTTTATTGAGACCTAATCAACATAAAACATTGTATTAGTTTCAGTTGTACATGATTCATTATATGTATATATTACAAAATAATTGCCACAATAAGTTAATGTCCATCACCACACATAGTTAAAAATCTTCTTTTTCTTGTGATGAGAACTTCTGAGATCTACTTTCTTAGAAACTTCCAATTATACATCACAGTTTTATTAACTATAATCATCACACTGTACATTACATCCCATTACTAGGCAATTCAAAGAAAAATCAATGACTAATAAACATGTAAAAATAATGTACCATATTACATCGTTAAGATAACTTTCATTTATGTATTAGCAAGTTTTTAAAAGACTAATAGTATCTGATATTGGTAAGGCTGTAAAGAAGTGTAAAAAAAACTCTGATATATTTTTGGTGAACAATTTGGCAATATATTTACTAAATGTAAAATCATATCTTCTGCCTCACTATTTCCACCTCTGGAAATTTCTTTTTCAGAAACATTCTCACAAAAGGAGAAAGAGCTATTTCCAAGAATATTCACCATAGTGCACCTGAAGAATGGAATGGATAAGTAAACTTTGATATATGCATACAGTGAAATGCTTGGCAGCTACAACTGTGATTGATGTACACAAATACACAAATATGTTCAATCTTCACTATTAAGAATAAAAGTCAGCTACAGAAGAGAATGAGGAATATGATTCTATTTTTAAAATAACAAAATAATAACGATATGACTGTGCATATAGCCAGATTATTAACTATGCTGGGGGTGGCATAGGATTATGAAGGTTGTTTCACTTTTTACATATTATGTATTTTCATGTTTTGAATTTGTGCACCTTTTATCATATTATCACATTTATAACTGCACATACACAAACACACACCCAAAACAAATCAAAGGGATTTTAAAAGAAATAATAGGGTAACCGTCAAGGAGAAATAACCCAAACTTCAAGGTCACCTCCACTCTCACCTCTGACCGAAGACGGCAGAAAGTGGCCTCCTCAAACTGACAGATCTTCACCTTGTGCCTTTTCAAAAATGAGAATGCAGAGGGCTGGCCCCGAAGACTGCTTGCCTTCCTCAAATAAAAGAAGGCCTTCAAACGAGACAAGGGATGGAGGAACTGGATTAGGATTCAGATGATGCTAGAGGTGAAGACTGGAGTAAGGATATGATGAGGGTCAAGATATGCACTTCAATCAGGTTGGATTTCGAGTTAGAAATGGGGAGCTGGACTGCACATGGCTTGGGGGGGGCGGGGCAAGGCTGGCAGCTTGGTGTTCTCTCATTCCCACATTCCCACTCATGTTTTCTCCTATACCTTTCCTCGCTCCCACTCTCTCTCCAGGTAACTTGGTAGTTAAGAAACCCAATCAAATCCCCAAGTAAAAGGGCTCATCTCAGAAAGCAGAGCTTGCTCACCATGTAGTTATCTGACAGGTCCAAGGAGGCAGCAGCAGCCTCCAGCAGGTAATAAAATGCACAGGTGTTTTCTCCGATGACCAGGCAGTGCTGGATGAGGGGTGAGAGCACTAACTTCAGGATTTCCTCACAGCGACAGGGCTTCGTGGTCAGCAAGTCATTTTCGGGGCTGGCCTGAGCCAGCTTCCTGCTCACTCGATCCAGGAACTCTTCCTCTGACCTTTGTGGAGAGAAGATGAAGAAATGAGAGTGGCCAGGTGCAGCCATCTTTGTCAGGCATTACCTGGTCTCCAAGCCACTTTTCCCAGGAAGCTTTCCTTTAGTACTCATTAAGTCTATGTCTATCCTTCCCCTCCATCACTCTTAAAAGTCAGAGGCCTAATCTATAATGGCAAAGTCCTATTACAGATTTTTTAAAAACCTAAAGTCAATCTAATACCTCACAAACTAAATGGAGAAACGACCACACCTGAAGAGTAAACTAACAATATGTTAAATAAAATCACCAAAGTGATACAAAGCAATAAGTAATAATACATTTATCTCTTAATGTATTTGAACTTTGTCCCAGTACATTTGAACATTATCTTATATACCACCACCATCTTATCCTGCAATAACCCTGTCATTCCAGCAGGCAAAAGTTACTACCGTTTTGCAGATGAAGAGACTGAGATTGAGAGAGCTTAAGTGATTTATATAGGGCCTCAAAACTCCTAGTAGCTCACCTCTCTGACTACTAGTCCAGGGCACTTTCCACAGGTACCATGAGTTCAAAAGAGATCAGGTCTTTCTGAGGCGGAATGATCGAAAAAAGTGGGCACTGAGGAGGGCTTTGAAGGCTGGTGAACATTCTGATAAGTGGAAGGAGATGGAGGCCACTTAGTATTTTTAAAAAGGAGAATTGTGTGAGCCAGACACACAGGTGTGTGTGGAGGTGATTCATGTCAAATATGGATAGATTTATGTTTGAAAAGTAGAATATCAAGTTGGATAAGAGAGAGAAGACTACAGCGTGGCTGGTGAACTCAAGGTAGGGACATTTAATATCAGTGGGACAGGCATTTGAAAACCAGAGGTACATGGTTGGAAGTGTAAGTTCATTTTAATATCAGCTGGGGTCAAAAATAATTGAGAAGGCAAATTTATAGCTGAACATAAAAACCCCTGCTCTGTGTACAATGCATTTGAGAGCTACTGGAAGTTTTTCTTAACCACTAAGAAATAATTCCTCTACAAAGAATCAAAAATTGCATTTTGAAATCTCTATTAACTTGAATAGAGATTTTGGGTGTCAGATGCCTTCCTGGTCTGCAGGTGAGGTGAGCCCAGTTTCGTGGTCAGCTGCATCTCACTTTCTGCCCCTCCAGCCCATTCTCAGCATCTCCATCTACCTGCAGGGTGTACTTGTGAAGGCTTCCCGACTTCTGGACAGTTCTGTCTGGAACTGAAAACTATCTATAGGGAGAAAAAGATGATTATCTTTAGTACCTATGTTTGAATTAACTGAGGACATTTTAAATTTCTATCTTTCCTCTGCAGCTTAGTTCACTACATAATTTCCACGCCCTCCCCATTATGATAATAAGTTTAGGTTTAATATTTGCCTGCACACAAAATGAGGATAATAGATTGCAAATTCCTTAAAAGCAACGATTTGTCATTCAAATAGTAACTCCTTTAGTTCTCAAACCTTCCAAGCCAGTTCTTAAATCCCAGGAGGTACTCACTATTGGTTAATAAAGAAATATATAATGTATCCACTTGGTTTGATGGCTACTTCTAATAGTAGGAATCCCTGAAAATATGATTGGGTTTATGAACACAGAAGAGTGAACCACAAAACCTAAGACCTAGTGAGAAAAACATGAGAACACATGATGCCACAGTCCACTAGAGTCTCAGTGGCCAGTAGAAGTTTTCAACTTTACTTAGTTGGCGTTCAACAGCCTTCATCCTCCAGATTTGACTCTTCCTCTACAGCCGCTTTCTCCAAGATAAAAAAAAAACAACAACAAGGAATACACTGGTAATGATGTTGACATCCTATATAACAAAAGTCTAATATGCTAAGTGTCCGGTCGACCGGTCAGCCATTCAATCAATGAAAGCATAATATGCTAATGATATGCTAAGGCTGCTCAACCGGTCACTATGATGTGCATTGACCACCAGAGGGCAGACGCTCCAACCTGTAGGTTAGCTTGCTGCTGGGGTCCAGCCAATCGAGACTGAGTAAGACAGGCTGGACACACCCTGGAGCCCTCCTGTGATCCCTCCCTGGCTGGCCAACCTTCCGCGTCCCTCCCTGGCCCTGATCATGCACCAGTGGGGTCCCTCAGACTGGCCTGTGCCCTCTCGTAATCCGGCATCCCTTGGGGGATGTTGGAGAGCTGGTTTTGGCCTGATCCCGTAGGCCAGGCTGAGGGACCCTACTGGTGCACAAATTCATGCACCAGGCCTCTAGTGTTACATATTAGGGTTAGGACTCGGAAGCATGAGTGGTGGGATTGAAAAGGAAGGAGTCTAAGAGAACTGCTGTAAAGAGGACTTGTGTTAAGTAAAAGTACCAGCTCTCAGCCCTGGCTGGTTTGGCTCAGTGGCTAGAGAGTCGGCCTGTGGACTCAAGGGTCCCAGGTTCGATTCCGGTCAAGGGCATGTACCTTGGTTGTGGGCACATCCCCAGTGTGAGGTGTGCAGGAGGCAGCTGATCGATGTTTCCCTCTCATCGATGTTTCTAACTCTCTATCCCTCTCCCTTCCTCTCTGTAAAATAATCAATAAAATATATTTTTTTTAAAAATGTACCAGCTCTCTGATGTCAAATAATGTCAGGTAAGGATAAGGTAACTAAGAAACTGGAGTTTGGCAGCACTACTGCAATACACAATTCCCAGGGTGCCTTCACCTCACAGCCTGTGTGAGCAGCACCCTCTTGATCTGTGCAGAACCTGTGCTGTATGGCCATGCACAGAGGCCTCTTCTGGGTTCGGCTGTGCTGGGAAGGTCTGGAGCCTTTCTCATATAGATTGATCAGGCTGTCTAATCTAAAGCTGAAACTGACCTCTTCAAAACAAAGGCCACATAGGAAATGTGAATGATAGCATAATCTCATCACAATAGCGGACTAGGACACTCACTGTTACTGTCCTCTTCCCCTCAGAAAGTGCAAAAGTACAAATGCTTATAGAGTTCATCAGTCATGACCAATTTCTCCAAGTTACTGGTCTACCTTCACAGAGTCACCAGATGTTACAGCTAGAAGAGGTATTAGGATCATAGATCAAATCCTTCATTTTAGTCCTTTACCTCCAATACGTCACCATCTCTTTCATATCCCTCTCCCCTGCCAACACCAATACCAACTTCTCTTCTATCAAAGTAGAAAAAGAGAATAATGGTTGGATCTTGATAGCTGTCTTCAACTGTAGAAGAAGACACAACTTTGACAAATGGGTGAAGTTGCAAGAAGGTAGATTTCACCCTGATGAAAGAAGAGATGTTCTAATAGCTGCTGGCAATGAAACAGGATGTCCTGTAAGGTAAACGAACTGAAAATGTTAAAACAAAGATGCATGAACTCTTATCTGAGATGTGGTAGAAGGGTTATAGGCTTTGGGGAACATCTGTCCACTAATCCAACCTTCCTGAAGTAGCTAACTCCTACTTATGCTCCAAGTCTAATTTCTGGCAGTATCTCCTTGAAGGAAGAGTCTTCTACTCATTCTTTGGGCCAGCTAACAGCCCCTTCTCTAGGTACTCAGCTCCTTTTCCATGCTGGAATTCTCTATATGTCACCCCCAAAACTGATCATTTTAGGGACCAAGGCTCATTCATTTTGTATTCTTAACCGCATCTGATACACGCTGACTCCATATATGTGTGCTGAGTGGAATAATTATAACAATAAAAAACAATAATTAAGATGTATGTGTACTAACCATGTGCCTGGCACAACAACCCTATAAAATAATATTGCTATTTTTCTCAATTAACTGAGGTTAAGGAACTTACCAAAGATTACCCCAGATTGCCAACCCAAACAAGTATGACCTCTAAAGTTCCTTTTAACTCAGAGATTACACTTTTCTTATCTCTGGTACTTCAGGGATAAATGGCTCTTTCTATCTATTTTTCTACCTTAATGTGATTTTACCTTTTGGATGAAGAGATCTGAGCTTATGAATAAAGAGAGGTGCTGTCCATATATCCTCTTTCTGCCTGCCTGGGTTTACCTTGGGGAGAAGGCAACTGTAATCTGTCTGTGATCACTTGTGTTAACACCGAGCCAGTATCCTTGTAACTGCAGAATCGGGATGACCCTCTGGAGCTCTTGATAGAACAGATGGCAAAACGGTGGAAGGGGACAAAGTCCCCGCCCCTGCAACTGCCACAGCGGCAGGCCAAGTGTCGGAGAAAGCAGGCACATTCAAGATGCAGGGCTCTCTGTTGTGCCTTGGGCCACAGCTCCCAAGCAGCTTCCCGTAATAGAGGCACATCAAATTCTAGCACCTCCGGAGGAGGTAGGAATGGTTCCTCTTTTTGCCTGAGAGGAGAGCCAGCATCTGAAATACAGAAAAATCTAAGTGAGAGCCTCCCTTAAAGTCCTTGCATGCTACCACGTAGCAAACTCCTAAGCACATGCTGCTAGTTTTAAAGAAATTTCATTTACAATTCCCATTCGCCTACTTTGTATAAAGGATTTTACACCAATCTGAGAGTGACAGTGACCATATCTAGTACAAAGTACCATGGCGAAGAAATGATCAGGGGTACTGAAGTACACTTGGATAGATTTCTTAGTTGTTCCTCCTAAAATGAGCTTTTGTATTACAAATTATTATAAACATCAAATCATCTGAAATGCTCTTTTCAAATACAAGGCCCAAACATATTTCAAAGTCAAAAGAAAATTATTTTTGGATTATATGTAATTTGGGTCTTCTATGTCACAATTTTATTCTTTCATGTGGAGAATTTGAGAATACCTGTTTCAGTACCACATATATTTATCTTCTCTGTGAATTTCTCAAATTAGAAATAGTTTATCCTTTTTTCTTATTACTTTGACCTAGAAGCCAATAAAGGATTACGGCAATATTTTCTGAACCAAAAATTAAAACACAAATACTTGACATATGGTGCTAACAAGAAGTTAGAATTCTTGAAATTAAGACAATTCTTAAAAAATACACGCTATTCATTCACTATAACCATGGTTCCTTCATGATTAAAATAATTATTTTCCCAATTTCTTAGTTATAAGCTTTAAGAGACTGAGGCCCTTGATATATGATACTGATGCTCTTTCTCAACACAGATTCCATCCCCACCCCAACCACCCCCTCCTGATTCCCACCAAGGCTCTCTGTTCAGGCTTGAGAACAAGGGACCAGCTTTTCCTCACCTGAATTTTTCTTTTCCTCTTTGTTTTTTTCAATAATCTCAACAGAAAAAGGCACTGATCGTGGCTCAGCAGGAAGCTCCTGGCTCTGGCTGCACCAGCGGAGCACGTGCATATCCACAAGAGCCCTCAGCGCCTGCAGTAGCTTATGTTTACCCCAGCCAGGCAGCAGGTGCTGCAGCAGATCCATGTGGAAGGAGTGACCAATGACTGCAGCACACTTAACCAGCAACTGTTCTTCTGGGCTCAGTTGATCCAGTTGGTTTACAGCTATTTCTAGAGGAAAAAAATCAGCAATGACCAAGCTTTCTACAACATATAATGCATTTTGTTGATAATCTCTTCATTTAACAAAATACAAAGGCTCACTTTTTGTCTACCCCTTCTTCCTCAGCCAAACCTCTTCAGAGAACCTTATTTCCATGTCCTCATTCGTTCTCAGGCTTCATTCATTGTTCAACCAACTATAATCAGATTTTCACCACATCACTTAAACTCTTCAACCACGGTCACCAAAACCCTTTGTTGGTAAACCCAAAGGTATGCCCTGAATCATTCAGCTAAACTAACAATTCTTCCCGTTTTCATGTTTAATACGTACTTAGACTTTTTCTTCTTACTTTGGACTAAACATGGAGGCCAGGTTTCCTGGTCCCAGAACTCCAATAATTATAAAGATGCTAATTAACTCTAAGCATTAGAGTAAATCTCTCCATATTATGACCCATATATTAAAGCAACTGTATTGAACCAGTAAGTCACCAAGCCAAAAATCTTGGAATAATTCTAAACCTTTTTCTTTCCTTCACAACCAACTGGTCACCCACTTACCCTCCTTCTAAATGTTTTTGCATGTTTCCTCCTAAACAATTTTAGTATAAAAAGTCATTTTCACCTGGACCACTATACTACTCTGTTTTGAACATTTCCAGCTTCTCCTCATTCTTATCCTAATAACATATTAGCTATTGGCAGAGTTATACACTTAAAGTACAAATATAATCATGTCAATCTCCTTTTTAAATACTTTTTAAAAAATATATTTTTTATTGATTTCAGAGAGAAAGGGAGAGGGAGAGAGAGATAGAAATATCAATGACAAGAGAATCATTGATCAGCTGCCTCCTGCACAGCCCCTATTGGGGATCGAACCTGCAACCCAGGTATATGCCCTTGACCGGAATCGAACCTGGGACCCTTCAGTCTGCAGGCCTACACTCTATCCACTGAGCCAAACTGGCTAGGGCTTCTTTTTAAATACTTTTATAATTTATGTGGCCTTTCACAATATAGCTTTAGCCTTTCATTTTGATCAGGGAAATGTCTGGCCGAGGGCTGTATAAGGCCTGCAAAATCATTTGGTCTGGCTCTGCATTAGGGGTGAGTTAATTAAATGTTTGCCCAAATATAGCAGGCTAGTTTTTAAGTTGGAAATTTTGTATGACCTACAAATGATGTTATCAATATACAAATGGCCCACGGCAGAAAAAAAGGTTCCCTACCTCTGATTTAGACCAAGGCTTTGCAGACTGAGCTATTAATTTTAGCTTATGAGCTAACAAATCCTTTTCCCTTCTCTGTGGACAGTGCTGACCTTGGATGCACTTCCTAGCACTTTCCCAGGATCCTGAAATGGCATCTGAATTACCAGGTAACATTGCTTACACTAAAAATGACCCCGGATTGGAAGCTGAATATGGATTAAGAAAACTGAAGAAGCTATAAACAGCAGGGGTAAACCACAGCTTTGGGCTTCCTTGGCGGTAGTAAATCATTTAATAGGCTATGTCCCTTGCAGGGCCTGGAAGTTATGCATACGGGGCTGTTATAAGAGATACCAGTTTTTAGCTGGGGCATGGGGCTTACATGCACCCATCCATCATGATCTCATTCCATCACACCTAAGCTATTCTTTGGGGCTCCGGAGAGTAGTGGTAGAAACTGCTGTGAGGACTCCCTCTGAAGAAAACCACTCGCTGCTGTTCTGCTAGCATGCTGTACTTCCTGACTTGGTCCTTCTATGTTAGTAAAGCCATTGCCAAGTGTGACCTATCATAGCTATAGGAGTATGAACTGTCTACATGGACTTAAAACCTCCAGAATAGCTTATAAAAGTGGACATACAATGAATATTTATAATGTACCATGATTTATTTCATTTGATCCTTAACTAACCCCATGAGGTAGATAGGAGCTATCATTACCCTCATTTGAGTGATGAGAAGACTAAGACTTACATAAGTCAATTAATTTATCTAAGGTTCCACAGCCAGTCAGTGAAGGAACCAACAGTACCCAGATTTTTTTGACTCCAGAGTCCTGGCTCTTAACTACCATGTTATTTCATATGTATGTCTCATATTCTCAGCAAGACCACCCTTGACTTGAAAGTATGTTTATTCATTATCATATCCCTCCAGAGGGCTTCCTATAGTACAATGGCTATCAAACACTTGAATATTAAAAGAAAAACTCATCTCTAAAAAGAAAAACATCCCTGTCTAATCATGCCTACCTAATGCTTTATCTTGTAAGTCATTATGAACTTACTCGGCACTCTTTTTATTAAACTCCTGCTATGTGCGTAACACTGCCTCTTCACTAGCACCAGAGTTTCTTAAATTTCAGCAACATTTTCTCCCTTGCTTATTGTTTGCTCCAGCACAGGAATATGCACAAAGAGAAACTCAAGACATGCTTTTATTAAACAACTAAAAAACGTTTCCATCATCAGTCAGTCCCAAGGAAAACAATGGGCTCACTTAAGTAAACCATTATTCAAGTAGCATTACAATTACTTAAGGGGTTCTTCAGGGGGTAATGTCAGAACTTCTTTCTGGAAGGCAGGTTTCTTTCTTTTTTTTTTTTTTAGAAGAAAATAAAACTAGTGCCTGGCTGGCATGGCTCAGTGGTTGAGCTTCAACCTATGAACCAGGAGGTCATGGGCTTGATCCCCAGTGGGGGGCATGCAGGAGGCAGCCAATCAATGATTCTCTCTCACCATTGATGTTTCTATCTCTCCCTCTCTCTTCCTTTATGAAATCAATAAAAATATTTTTTTTAAAAATGAAACTAGCATGATAATAAGAGACCTATACTCAGTCATCCACAAAGTTACTAATTGCAATGACATCTGTTATTGGTTCATTTGAGTTCTTTGAGGAACTTGCCTTTTAACAATGGTGGAAGAAGCACTGTGTCCAAGTTCACCTCATCCTTGACTGTGCAGACATAAAATTTCTGGTCTTCTTCAGAGCTGGCAGGAGAAATACTATACATTGTGGATTTTGTGGCATTGGCTGTAGGGAAAGAACACTATGACTGAGGAAAGCACCATGCTCAGTGACTGCAGTTTTAAAGGCACAAAAAGGCAAGAATTTAGTCAAGAAACTGAAAGGATGAAGATGAATGGAGCATATCACGTTTTAAGTGGTTTACCCCACCCATCCTGCCTGTTCTCTAATTTTCTCTTAGAAACTAACATTTTCTGCACCATGTGGTATCTGACATTCTCACGCTTCCTGTTTACCTGCCAATAGCCCTTACTTCTATTATACCACTGTCTAGGATGTCTTTCTCGATTTACACATTCTTTTCCTCCTCTCCTACCATCCTCCCTTCTCCTATTTCCCCCATCCAACTCCTCAAGTCATACCTCTCTACATAATGTGCAATTCTCTACTGAACTCTCATGTTTAGAAATTCTCTCTAGTGGACTGTCATGCTGATAGGCCCCATTTTTCCTATTCCTACTTCCTGCGCTGCTAAAAAAGGAATTATAGATTGATTGACTCAAGTTATCTGAGGCAGGTATTTAGTATTTTCACCATAGTTTCATATTATTTCCCACTTAGCTAGGGAGGCCTAATCTTACCTATAATGTCAGCAGAGAATAGGCATGTACCTTATAAGGGCTGGGAGATGCAGTTGGACCAGGTTAGAACCCTGGCAAGCTCAGCTTACCTGAGAGGGTCTCCCACTTGCTGTTCTCCTCCTCTCCCTTTTGTAGGTCATGAAAGAGTAATATGTCCTTAGAGAGAAGGTCCCGACATAGAACCTTACAGTAGAGGGGGTTTCCCAAGCACCTGCGAAGAAGGTAGCTGTAGAGAGGGAAGTACGGGATTGCTAACTAAAGATGCCCACTTGAAGAGAGCCATGCATAAGGGTATTCATAATAGGAATATTTCTTCTTTTGTTGAAGTCAGCACTCGATATACAATAACAGAGGGAAGCAGCAACCCAGAAATGTAAACAAAATTCTGATTGGCTTTGAAAGTTATATTGGCAGTAACTTTTCTTTTTTAACTATTTTGCTTCTATTGATGTTAAAAGGAACTAATGTTCCCTTGCTAAATGGCCTGGCAGAAACTGGCCTGACCACATATAACTGATGCATTAAGCAAGCCATCCAAGTCCTATCTGTCCTGTGAAACCCTGGTGGATAGCCCAGGGAAGCAGCCCTTACTGGTTTATAGGACTGTCTACCCTTACATCTCATCATGGTTACTAATGCCATTCCTCCCTTCATGAAATGCCCAGCTAGTCCCAGCCACTCACATCTGCAGCTCTTGGGGGATGCTCACCGCCCCTAGTTCCCAACATGCCATTTTCAATAGTGAGTTTGCTGCTAACTTCGAAATGGGCTTCAGCAGAGCCTGAGGGCTCTGCAGGACGTGCTGGGCCCCACCACACAGGGTGGAGGTAGGCATCAATGTCATCACCATGATGATGGGCACACTGGAGAGTAAAGTTCCCAAAAACTCCCAGGAAGCTGCATCCATATGCTGGGCCTCGTCAATGAGGAAAATCAGTGGTGTTTCCCTCACTGCCTGGAAATAACAGCAAAGGGACAATGACAACATCTGATTAGTAATGAAGTCACCTAACTTGCAAATCTACCATGAATTTCTCATCCATAATTTAAATAAAATGTCAATAGAGCCTGGGGTTTTCAGAGTAAAATGTAACCTAAGTCCAGGTAGTACTTTACTTTATAAATACAAAATGTAGCCTGTATATCTAACTTCTAAAGAAATGTACTGAGTTTCTTTGGACAAAAAAATACTCTAACAAAAAAATAAACAAAAATATTCTCCAAATGAAACTTAAAGCTTTCAAATATTTCCTCGTGCAAAGGGAATTCATAATTCTTTAAACTAGTCATTTCCAAACCAGGCTGCAAATCAGAATTTCCTGGGAGTGCTTGCTAAAACTACCAATTCCAGGCCCCACTCATGTAGACTTAAAAATGTATTTGGTTTTATCCACATTCCCCACTGCCACATGTAACTATTTTAATGTGTTAATCATATAACCTTTCATTTGTATGTTGTCCTTGTAAATGTGTATACTCGTTTTGTCAAGAATATTGTTTTTATATAAATGGCACTACAGTACAGATTCATTGTTTCTCTTTGTTAAGGACTGTTTTTAAGATCACTCTGTGTCACTATGTTTTCATCTCTTCCCTTACTTTAAACTTCTGCAATATAGTCCACGGTGTTCATCTCTGAGTTCATGCCAATGTCTCCTTAGCCTCTACAAACAAACACTGCAATAAATAGACTCCCTGGGATATAAATCCAGGAGTGGAATTGCTGGGTCTAGAGAATGCATGTTCTTAAAATTTGACTTTTACTTCTAGATTGCCTTCCAGAATGGCTGTATCACAGTTTTTGCTCTTATAGATTCTGTAATTTTGGGTAGGAGGTCTAAGTATCTGTATTTTTAATAGCTATGCACCTGCATTTACAACACACTGTTTTGAATCAAGTTGTTAAAATTTCATTAAGAAACAGGATCAGAAAGAAGTGAAGACCTGTATTGTATGCTGTGCTATATGATGGATTCAAGGTTAAAAATAGATAAAATGAAGATATCTTTCAAGAAGGCTAAGAAATGCCTAAGTCAAGGTGTGAGGTGGCTAGATTAAAATGAACATAAGCCACCCTAACCGGTTTGGCTCAGTGGATAGAGCATCAGCCTGCGGACTGAAGGGTCCCAGGTTCAATTCTGGTCAAGGGCATGTACCTTGGTTGCAGGCACATCCCTGGTGGGGGGTATGCAGGAGGCAGCTGATCGATGTTTCTCTCTCATCGATATTTCTCTCTATCCCTCTCCCTTCCTCCCTGTAAAAAAAATCAATAAAAATATTTTAAAAATTCATTAAAAAAATAAAATGAGCATAAGCCATCTCCACATATTAAGAGTTAATGGTATGTAGCAAAAGTACCCACCTCCTGTAGCACTTGAAAAAAACACTCTTTAATCTTCTTTTGTCTGGCCAGGTCATCCATGTGTGAAACTTCGAAGGATAAGGGAAACTGAGCAGAAAAATTACTCATATATTAGCATTCAAAGTGACAATCTAATAAAAATATACAGATTCTCAAAAGGGAATCGAAAATTATTCTATTTTGAGTGAGAATGGGTTTATACAGTATTGAGCATAGTGTTACAAACATCAATATATAGTTCAGAGGGTACATTGGTAGGTAGAGAGAGATAGATCCTTTCCATACTAGACTCTGGAAAACTCTTAAAGGGTCATGACTAAGGAATAAAATGACAGGTCGGACTAGCAATGTCACTTTGGACAGCTCCACTACCCGTTATTCCAAGCAAACCAGGTTAATGTGTGCATGAGACTTGTCAGAAACAACTGCAATAGACATCACCTAACATTGTTTCCTTGCAAGGCCAAGGCACATTAGTTACCATGGACCTGAGAACCAAAGTGGGGCTACTCCTTAACCACTTTGGCAGGGCCAGAGCTAGAGCCCTAGGCAAGGCCTGTCTTAAGACAGGGCTATGCTGAGGGATTGAACAGATTTTAGTTTTCTCTGTTTTCCATTAAATATATGCCTTGCAAGCTGGGTAGATTAGAAAAAGTGATGGAGGATGAAAAAATAGAATGTGGACCAGGGAATTCTTAGCCTACACTCTATTGGGTACCACGTGCACCCTGGACCACTGGAAGCCTTTGAGATTCAGATGCTGGTTCAAGTGACATCCTCCATGGCCAATGAAAGGAAAGGTAGGCTTAAAGAGCAACACTTGCAAACTGACTAGAGAGGACATGGATACAACTGCAAGGGATGCTCAACTGGTCAGGATCATCTTGATGGATTTAGCACTTTCACACTTACAATGCAACCTCTTATATACCATCTCCTTTAAAATCCATGCAAAAACCCTGTAAGTACGGAACTCATTTTCACAGGTGAAAAAACTGAAGCTCAGCAAGGCTAAGTGATTTGTGCCAGGACATACAACTAGCAGGTGTCAGAGTCAATCCTAGAATTCACTCTCCTCAAAAATCAGAAAGCCGGGGTTTTGCTGTCAAAAGGGTTTCAAACCTCACTTCTACCATTGCTGATTATGTGTTCTTAGCCCATATCCAATATAATAAAAGCCTAATATGCTAAGTGTCTGGTCATCCATTCAATTAATCAAAGAGTAATATGCTAATGATATGCTAAGGCTGCTCAACCACTCGCTATGACGTGCACTGACCACCAGGGGACAGATGCTCCAATCGGTAGGTTAGCTTGCTGCTGGGGTCCAGCTGATCAGGACTGAGCCAGATGGGCCAGACACACCCTGGAACCCTCCTGCGGTCCCTCCCTGGCTGGCCACCCTCCCGCACCCCTCCCTGGCCTCAATCATGCACCAATGTGGTCCCTCAGCCTGGCCTGCGTCCTCTCGGACCCCTTGGAGAGCCAGTTTCGGCCCAATCCTGCAGGCCAGGCCAAGGGACCCCAATGGTGCATGAATTCACGCACTGAGCCTCGTAGTATATATATAACATCAGTAATCCAATTCAGAAAGCCACTGCCTTCCTTACCTTTACAAAGAAGAGGTCATTAAAAAGGCAGTGAAGTGGTTCCTCCACTTTCCCACAAAGCTGTTTACGTAGGCACTCTTGCCGGTAAAAGGCTGGGCATGTATCAATTTCAAAGAAGATGGCCATGAGGGTCTGGATGGCATAGAAGTGTTGCTTGGAATCTGCTTCCTTCAGCTTCAATGACAACACCCTGGGGAATGTTACTATGGTCACGGGAAGGCCGTTGACCAATGGAGAGGTTACTCACTCTACCAGCCCAAGGATGTGGAATCTAATGATACAAGAGTCTCACCAACAAAGGAAAGGAGCCCCAAAAGAAGCACATGTCCAGTCAGAAAGCAGGTGTCTTTACCTGTGCTCTTCTTTCTGGGCCAGCAAGTTTATTTCAGCCAACAGCTGACTTTTTCCATAGCCCTTTCCACCTTCATACAGAACTGCTTGTCCCTTCTTCTGGTGCAAACATCCCTGCTGTGCCATTTGGAAGGCTTCTAGTTCTTTCTCCCGGTCTGTAGAGAGACAGGGGAGCACCTAATACTCCTGTGCTTCTTAGTAGACCCCATTTATTTGAATTAATTTGAAAAATTAAGTCTCAGAATGCCATTTCTCCCCAAGAATTCTTGGCAGAATCCCATTCTTTGGTGAAGCTTCACATATCTTCCCAGAAAGTTAACTTTGGCCTCTACAAATGCTGGGCGTGGTGGTTTGCTCCAGAGCCTAAGTAATGACATTCTGGACAATTAGGTACCACATGGATATGTCTTAGCTTTTTGTAAAAATTTCTATAATAACAATTTTTAATCAAAGTCCGTCATTGCTATGTAACGATAATGAACTATCTAATATATACAGATAAAAGAAATATAAAGAGAGAGAATTTACAGTGTAAGTGGCAACCGTCTCGGTGCTATCTTTACTGTCTAAGGATGAAGAATTTCCCTCTAAAGGTGAGCCACAACAAGCTGGTCAGATCTCAATAGCTGAACTCTGACTTACACAAATTCTTACTAAATGTTGGTACTTCTCAGGCCAAGTGATAGGACTCCCCCTGGAATTTAAACATTCAATGTGGAAAAGAAATGGCAAGTCCTCTTCAAAACGAACATAAATATACTAAGAAGGCTGCTTTCTATTTTTGATACAACTTAGAAGCATTTAATCTTGAAATTTTTTTATCATAATCACCATCTATAGCTGAAAAATATACAATTTAAGATAGAAAACTCACCTAACAAAGGGTGATTTTTATTTCTCACTCTGATCAAATGTCTCTTCCCAAACATGCTAGGAAAACAAAGGGAATGTCTCTATTAAAAATAGATTGGAATAGATAATATACCTCCAATTAATAGAGGAAAAATTGTCCTCATAAGTAAGTATTTTCAGATAACTCAAGAGATACAGAGTTATGTAAAAAAGAGTCTTTAAAAAATTTTAAAAATTTGGCAGAAGGGAGAAAGAACAATTATTGATTGTTCTAGGTTCAGGGAAGTATGAAGTACAGAAAGAAAAAAATAACACCTAGATTAATGACCTATTGCTATTCTCTTCCTGTTGGATAACAAGTTCACTGAGGAACTAGCAAAGAGCTAAACATAAAAGCTGAGGATCTCAGGAACAAAGCCCTTTTCTTATGTCTCTTACTTCAGCAGGCCGGTCCTAGAAGCATCTTTCTTTCTAATGTCATACAATCAAACACTGATTACTCCGATGCCCTGATTCAGTAAAAGAGATGGGAATGAACTATTACACAATGACACTCACATACATCTTCTATGGCCAAGATATTCATACGTCTTCCCAGGATTGGAGATGTTTCTCATCATTTTCTCAGGGAGTTTCTTGAAGTTGTAAGCAGGTAGCATGGATCTTAGATATGTTACCTCATCACAAGACACCAAACCTGGATAAGCAGTTATCATTCTGGCCACAAGGCTCACTTTCGGGCCAATAACTGTGTCAAGGGGACAGAAAAAAAAAAGGATGCAGAATTCTTGGTTCACCTCCTCCAGCTTTACCCCCTAAGTCAGAGAACTAACAGTCCAGTGTCCTATTCTACCTGTATATTCATGTCTTGCTACTGCCCCAACCACGCCACAGAATACTGGTCCATTGGTGATACTGATGGAAACAAGCCTGGGGATCAGAAAAGCAACAACACAGTCAGAAGCCTCCAAGTCAAGCATTATATTGGCCATTACTCAGATCCAGGCTAGTGCTAGAGCTCAGGATGAAAAAGGCCAGAGGCTGCTGTCAGTCTACATCACATGATGGGTACAAAATAATGAATATTAGGGAAATAACCAAGAGGAACAGAATGGCCCCCCTACTCCAGGAGTTTTACTTGGGGAGTAATTATTAGTAAAATGGCTAAAATACTTTATATCTGTCAGATACTTTATATATGCTTTTTGAAGTTCTTTCAAATTGACTACCTCATTTGATCCTTTAAGGGATAATGAATGAACAACAAACATGTGAAGTATACAGGGCAAATATTTGGACCGCATTTGACCACCACCACCACCAACTAAAAGTGAATTCCCTTTCCCAGAGTTACACAGCAAAGTCAACAGTAGACTTAGAATGAGAACCCAGGCCTCTGACTCCTAGGCCAGTGTATTTCCACTACACCACACTGCCTCAGATAAAACCTGAAAGTTAAATAGATCAACCGATGTCAGAACTGGGTTAATGGATCAAATAATGCTAGAATGTCAGAGTAAAGAAATAACCAAAACATCTGGCTGCTGACGGAAGGCTTCCTGAAGCAAATTAGACTTTGGGATATACATTTTAAAAATAAGTAATATTTTTTTCATTCATTCACACATGTATACATTCATCCATTTAATAGGCATTGAGGAGTATGTACAGTACCCAGAATTGGGCTGGGTTTTTATACAATACGGACCTGTACAAGAATACCCTTCCCTGGAAAAGTTCAATCTGAGGAGTAGAGTGATAGGGATCGAGGAAGGAGAAAAGACATAGTTATAGGTTAACAAGACAAATACTACACATTAGAGATCAATACAGCAAATTAACAGAGCCAACAGAAGGGAAGCATTAACTGGAGAGTAAAAAAAGTATTTCATAAAGGAGAAGACATATGATTGGATCTTGAAAGTTGAAGTACTGCCAAAATGGGGCATCAGCATTCTGTCTAGTGGGAAAAGCATAGTCTTTGAAGAATCTGGTGTGCTTCTGCAAAACTAAAAAGTTCAAGAAGGCTAGAGTGTAATAGTTCAAGAGTAGGGAAAGGTGAAGGGAGAAGTGGTCCAGCCTAGTCCATGGATGGAAAAGTACTGGAAATATGAATTATTTTAAGAGAGGTCATATACTGTTCTAGTGAGCAAAGGTTCAAAGGTGGCAATGAACAGAGAGTAAGTAGATTTACTTAACTGACATAAAAATTTCCTGTGAGAAATAACAAGATATGTGGATGGAGAAAGAGGGTGCAGTGAGCATAGTTTTAAGTTAAATCTACAAATAAACAATTTTCAGTTGTTCATGAACATGAATTGTAACAACAATCCTAACATTATTGTCTCCTGAGACATTAAAATTCTCTTGCAGAATTACCAGAATGACAGGAGTGAAGACTCTTACCATTCATTCACTGGGCCAACTGCCCAGGGCGAATAAAAGAGACACCCAAGACAAGAACCAGGCAGTTGGTTCTGCTGCCATAACAAGACTAAGACTAAAAATCTTATAATGTTTCATCATGCTTCTTTTGTTTAAAATGCCTTTCCCCACTTTCTCCATATACTAAACTCCTTTTATTCTCAATCTGGCTCAAACTTATTTCTATAGTTATGACTTCTCTGGAATCTCTGGTGAGAATTAACTATTTCTTTCCATAGCACTTTGTTGCAGCTCCTACAGCATTTTATTCCTGCAGTTAAATTTCATTGCATTAAAGAGAGTGGGTTACTTAGCTGAGGAGGTAGTGCCCCATTTCTCTTTATGTCCATCAAACCTAGCACATGAATGACTCATGGTCGTGTTCAACCAATGCTTGTTGAATGAATATAGTTATGCATGCAAGAAACTCAGCTATTAACAAGACAATGATAATTAAACAAATAACACTTTTCTCCCTTGGTTACTTCTTATTTCTTTCTATTATACTTTATGAGCCCCTTTGTTCTTCCTGGAAGTCCATGTTCCTTCCTTCTTTTAAAAATGCTTTTGCCCTGCAGGTGTGGCTCAATGGTTGAGCATCAACCTATGAAACAGGAGGTCACGGTTCAATTCCTGGTCAGGGCACATGCTCAGGTTGCAGGCTGGATTCCCAGTAGGGGGTGTGCAGGAGGTAGCAGATCAATGATTCTCTCTCATCATTGATGTTTCTATATCTCTTTCCCTCTTCCTTTCTCTCTGAAATCAATAAAAGTATGTTAAAAAATTAAAAATAAAAATGTTCTTCATTGATGAAGAATATGTTCTTTCTTCAATATATAAATATATAGATCAATGCAAAATTCAAGAGCAGAACAGACCAGCACTGGATGAGAAGGCCCAGCACACCCATAGTGGAGATAATATTTGAAAGCAGGCTGTAGAAGCATCTGTAGACCCCACCGTGCCTAAAAGAAGTGCCAGCACATATCTATCCTGGGCTAAGAGTCGGAGTATATAAGAAGCAACTGTAGCATCTTTTATCTGTAAAATAAGGAGTTGGATTAGATAATGTAAATTTCAGTACTAACATTCTATACTTGCCTCTACAATTATATCATATTTGTAATATATGCTTACTTTTTTGGAGAGTATTTATATTTTATAAGAGGCAGTTGTGGGGTAATGAAAATGACAGAATTTGAGGACAGAAGATCTGGGTTTCATTACCAGATCTGCTATATGCTAATAATTTATCTTCTGTGGTCTTACTTTCCTCATGTATAAAGACAGAGAAAATTTTCACACTGGTATCGTATATTACAGTATTCTATAAAATTTAAAGCATTGTATAAACATGTGACATAATTTTATTCATCTTGATTAAGTATGGCAAGCAAATAATCTTTGACTCAATGCTAACATTAGATATAACTATTTTTCAAATTGATTCCTGTATACACTTTCCCCATAGTTTTCTAGTGGGGAAAAAGATGTCATTTGAAAAATTCCAACCAACCTTGTCATAGTGCAACTAGTGGGAAAATGGAATTTTCTATTAACTAGGACTAGGAGTTTATAGAAGGTGGGAAGGCGAGGTGAATGTAGAGGAGGGTGATCATATCACTGTGAATTCCAGAAAACTTAATGGGTCTGGGAAAGACCAAGAGTGAAAGCCAGAAGGAGAGCATTAACCAGCTGTGGTTACTTCCCCTCCCTAATAGGTAGATAGACAACCTTTGTTCTGCATTCCTTCCACATACATATATACTATTTGTATTATATTAATGTACACATTTGCAGTGTTCTTCAGTTTTGCTATGTGCATTCTGTTCCTCCCCCTCTCCCACCCCATTGGATAGAAATTTATCTTCATTTGCTCTGGGTATCTAGGACACTGTTCTATAACTAGTGATTTCTTAATAGATTTTGTTTTCTGACTTCCCTTAGCATGTTCCCTCCCCGTTAGGAAGATTCTGGATGTCCTCAAACCCTGCTACTTGTCACAGCCTCCTACCATGCCCGAAGAGCCCCTGGGGCCTGAGGAGCTCCTCTCTGCCCCACCTTCCTCCTCACTTGGTCTCAGTAAGATTCTCCCAGCAGAAGTTGAAGATGCTGACTGAGCTTTCCAGGGCATGTGCACACTCATCTGGCTTCTTATCCCCAGGAAGGCCAAACACACAGAGGAACATGCAGCCCTGGGACAAAACAAGAAAGAAAAGAGAGTTTATCTGGGGAAGGAATATGGCTTGCTGCAGATGAACCAACTCCCCTGAATGAAGCCAGATCCTTTCTGGTCTTCTGTTAGGAATATAGGATTCTATAAGATTCATGAAATGAATGCTCTAGGCCACACCAACAGAGATTTAAGAAGAAGAAACAAAATCTTAATTTAACTATCCAAAGAATTAAAATTTAAAACTTAAGGAAATTTAATGGCAAGCACTTCAAAAATTCAATCTCTAGTGCATACTTTGAGCTAAATCTATGTGCTTCCATTTTCTTCACCTTTAATGTCAAGTATTAAAACTACTCTTTTTCAAGCTCCTTAATTATCTAAGAAAGATCTGATTACACTTACTCTACTAGTAGAGTCAGAAGAACATTCTTTATGCTTTCACAAGGATTTTTCAACAAGAATTAAACCAAAAAGGATATAGAGAGTAACCCTTGATTTCTCTGACAATTAACTAGAACATTCCATTCCTTGACTAATACTAGTTGAAGTTTTAATGTAAAATAGCATGTTGCAAAATAAGTAGCAGGATATATGACTTATGCCTGTGTTATGTGAGAGGCAAACTGGTCATACAAGGCTATTATTTTTCACTCACCTTTAATGCTTATGGCTCAGGTCCCCTTGTACTTACTTTCTCAAACATAAAGATCTGGCTCAGCTGGCCACCCCCTTTCTCTATGACTGTGGAGATGTACAATGCAGCCTCCTGGATAAGATGACACAAACGCAACATCCATCCTGTCTTGTGAAATTCTAGGCTGACCAAAACCATAGTCACGGTACGAAATTCAGATATATACTCCATAGGCTGGCCTTCATCAATCTACAAAGACAGTGAGTTACCCTGCCTGTATTGCCAACTGCCAGTATTATGTTTAGGAATTTTAATTCTACTTTCTGTGGTGAGTAGGACAAAATAAGTTAAGGGTATCAGACCAAATCTTAAAAGAAAATTCAGGTTTGAGAGATATATAAGATATACAAACCAGTACACTTGGAATGAAAACGGTTTGACTTTAAATCTAATTCACTGCTGAAGCTTGTTAAGCTTTTATATTTTCTAAAAGTTAGTTTGATATTTCCAATTCCATTAGCCATTACATATGTTTATATATACACACTTAGTCAACACATATTAATTAACTAAGTACATACTTACTCTATACCCTGCTATACAGTATATTAGTTTCTTGAGGGGCAAACTGAAAAACAAATATGGCTTTTACTTTCTAGGATTGAGAAATCTAATTAAAATTATAGGACAGGTCATCACAATAATTGGTGCAGGAGACAGACAAACTGGGTCGGTGCAAATAGGACATCACATGTAAATGCACACTTGTTCACACAAACACATGCACAGTCTACACGATGACTCAAGAACTGGAAAATAACCTTCTTCAAGAGGTTTTTCATTATGTGCTTCCGCAGAGTTTGCTCAAGTGCAGAGTCTGGATCCAACTCCAGGGCAGTTCTTAGAGTATCTGAGAAAAGGAAAACAAATGAATGTCTCCAGCCTTGTTGAAAATTAATCTTTAACATTTTGGGCTTGGGTAGAAAGAACAAAGTCACTTACTAGCACTTGTCCGGTAATGTGGCAGATAATTGAGGCACTTGTCAAAATGCTCATCAAAATCAAATGGGTCAGTGATCCGCATATCTCTTAACTATAGAAAGAAAACTGCTCAATTCTGTGCCCACCCATCAACTGAATTACCGTTGGTTCCTTAACATAGGGGCCGAGGATGCCATCTCCTTTGTTTATTATTTATCCTTTTAGCCTTACTGTTCTGCCTCATCTATCTTCCTGGGGAAATATCCCCCACCTCCCTCCAAAATAGAGTTCCAATGGTTGTTGTTTTGGTTAGGCAATATGTGACCACCACCAGAGCACTGCCTGCCATGTGCAGTAGAAAGGCCTTTGCAGAATGTGCAATGGATGGTGCCAGCCTCCTACCTTCACAGCTTCATCCTCCTTCATGATTTCCACTTCAAACATGTACTGCTCACAGAGTGTCCAGCAGTTCCAGGACAAGACAATCTCATTTGCCTGAGCCAAACGCTGAGCTAACTGGACATCATCTACATCCCGCCCAATCACCAAGAGGTACTGTCGTTGTTCATCTCCAACAATAACTTGGGAAATCCGACCTGCAGATAGACCTATCCAGAAAAAAGGAGACAAGTGGTGAATAGCCAAACTCAACTGAATATACAAAGGGAGGGGTCTGGAATCCTCACACTGCTCTCTGCATCATGCCAATCTTGTTATTGCCCATAGTTGCAGAAATATTAGATGAGCTCAACTTGAAAAATAACACCTTGCCTCAGATTTCTTTCTGTCTCAAACACAGCTAGAGACAGACACTCAAACAAGTCAGAGGTGTATGGGGGAAGAAACAAAAGATCCTAGGCTTCTGAGAGTCTTGTCTCTAAATTGCTCTTCTAATGGACAACTAGGGCCTGCTGGCAGAGACCTAATGGTTACGCTCAGACACTGCTGTCACAGTGACCACACCATCCCTCCTCGCATGTAACCCGGGCTGATGAATAGATATTTTAACAGACATGGGCTAAGTCACCTAATCCAACTAAAAACAAGGGAAAAATGGCAGAGACATATGCTTTTGGCCAATATGGACAACATGTAGTGAATTTACTATAATGTTCAGAACTAATAAATTGGAAAAAATACACAACATAATTTTCAAGATACTGGGATATCAGGTAATGGAAAACAATGATGCCTGAGAAATGGGAAAACAAGGTGAACCCTCTGATACCCCAACTACTGTCAAGTTTCCAGGACACATCTCGGGGAGTGGAAACCCAGGTGCAGCCCAGAAGACTCCCTGAGTTGGAGACAAAGTTAGGAGTCTGAGTAGGGCAAGGTGGCTAGAGGCAATAGGGCACTGTGCCTACTGATGAGAAACTCCACAATCTGTACAGGGTCCCTCAAGCTTTTAGCTGAGTACTAGTAAGTGCATCAATATGAAGAAACCACCTGAGGCTTGGGAAAGAATCACCTGAAAAGATTAAAAGGAACAATCCCCGATATCACACAGGGCTGGGAATAGTTCCTGTCCCCACTGGCCAGAGTGTCAAACTTAGTAATTCTCAGGACATTGAAGGGGCTTGCCTCAGGAATAGGGCAAAACTAGCCCTAGACTAAACACAACTCTGGTCCCATCCAACAAAGTTTAAAAGTGAAACCCTAAAGGATCAAGCTACCCACATCTCAGAATGAAGTTCAAGAATATTATGGCAAGATTTTATGAATCTAGCGCTCAGCAAGGTAAAATTCACAATGCCTGGCACACACTAAAAGTTACCAGACATGCAACTTTTTGGATAATATGACCCACAGTGAGAAAAAAAATAAATCAATCAAACATAACCCAGAATAACACAAATGATAAAATTAGTAGAAAGAATATAAAGAGTTATAACTACATTCCATATATTCAAGAACCTAGAGAATAGGCTGAATAAATAGAGACATGAAAGATAAATAAGGACCTAAATCAAACTTCCAAGGATAAAAACTACAAGGCTTGAGATAAAAAATACATAAGGCAGGAATAAAGGTAATTGCAAAAAAAAAATTGCAAATCTGAATAAACAGCAATAGAAACTATCCAAAATGAAAGACATGGAAAAAACAAAACAAAACAGTGAACACAGCACCAGTGAGTCATGGGACAATTTCAAGCAGTGTATAGCATGTTGTAATTGGACAGAAGAAGAGGGAAACAGAAAAAAATTGAAGAAATATAGGCAGAACATTTTCTAAATTTGATAACTAAAATCCTAGAGATCAAAGAACCTCAATGAACCATAAGCACAAGAAAAAAGAAAAGAAAAACAAAACACTAAAAAATACCAAGGCATATCATAAGATGACCTAAAACCAGTAATAAAGAAAAAATCTTTAAAAGCAGCCAGAAGAGCCCAACCAGGCGTGGCTCATGGTTGAGCATCGACCTAGGAGCCAGGAGGTCATGGTTAGATTCCCAGTCAGGGCACATGCCCAGGGTTGTGGGCTCGATGCCTGGTAGGGAGCATGCAGGAGGCAGTCGATCCATCATTCTCTCTCATCATTGGTGTTTCTCTCTCTCTCTCTCCCTTTCCCTTCCTCTATGAAATTAATTAAAAAAAAAAAAACAGCCAGAAGAAAAAATAAAAAGACACATTATATACAAAGAAATAATGATGAAAGCAGATTTCTTGTTGGAAACATCACAAGCTAGAAGATAGAGCAACAGCTTTAATGTAAGAGAGAAATAAAATCTGTCAACCTAGAAATTAATAACATTAAAAATATCTTTAAAAAAAAAGATTTAGCCCTGACCGGTGTGGCTCAGTGGATAGAGTGTCAGCCTGTGGACTGAAGGGTCCTGGGTTCGATTCTGATCAAGGACATGTACCTTGGTTGCGGGCACATCCCCAGTAGGGAGCGTGCAGGAGGCAGCTGATTGATGTTTCTCTCTCATCGATGTTTCTGACTCTATCCCTCTCCCTTCCTCTCTGTAAAAAATCAATAAAATATATTTTTAAAAAGATTTAAATAAAGATTTTTCCAGACATACAAACACTGGAAACACATCTCCAGCAAATTCATACTATGAGAAATGTTAAAGTTCTTCAAACAGACAATGACAAGGGCATGAAGAAATTGGAACCTTCATTCATTGCTAGAGGGAAAGTAAAATGGTACAATCACTTTGGAAAAAAGATTAGCAATTTCCCTTTTATTTATTGATTGATTTCTAGAGAGAGAGAGAGAGAGAAAGAAAGAGATCAATTTGTTATTTCACTTATTTATTCATTCATTGCTTGATTCTTGTTGTGCCCTGACCTGAGATTGAACCTGCAACCTTGGCATGTCTGGAAGACGCTCTAACCAACTGAGCTACCCAATCAGGACAAGATTAGCAATTTCTTAAAAAGGTAAACATACATCTACCATATGACCCAGGGCCTCTACTCCTAGGTATTTACCCAAGAGAAATTAATATGTATGTCCACACAAAGACTTGTGCACAGATGTTCATAACAGCTTTATTTGTAATAGCCAAAAATTGAGCACTCAATTATCCAGCAAAAGTGAGTAGACAGTGGCTCTATGAAGCACACCCCTACCTTTCCCCACACCCTTCTGTCCCCAGGGCTCTCTCTTCCCTGCTGGAGCATGCCTGAACCTCTTCGTCTTTCATCTTTCAAGGAGCATCTCTCTCTCCCCACTAATCTCTAAGGGCTCTTTTGCTATAACTTGTTTCCTGAGCCCATTTCTTCTACAGCTCACTTCTTCTACCTCTGTGACTTTCTAAATAAAACTTTCTCTTATAATTTGAGTCTTGGCTCTGAATTCTTCTCTTAGCCATAACTTTTAAAAAACTGAATGGAGAAACAAATTGTAGTAAATCCATACAATAAAATACTACTTGTTCTCATATATATTTTGGAGATACTGCTATATCAGAACATATTTTTTAAGTTGCAGAGAATCTCATTGAGTAGACATATTTAGTGCTTAATCAGTCTCCTACAGATGGACTGTTTTCAACCTTTTATTATAAACCATATTGCAATCAATAATCTTGTACATATGACATTTCATGTATCCTCAGGTATTCCTATAGAATAAATGTTCAGAAGTAGGATTGCTGGGATAAAGAATAAATACATTTGCCCGGCTGGTGTGGCTCAGTTGGTTGAGCGTTGTCCCACGCACCAAGAGGTTGCTGGTTCCATTCCCAGTCAGGAAACATGCCAGGGTTGTGGGCTCAATCCCCAGAAGGGGGCATGCAGGAGGCAGCTGATCAATGTTTCTCTCTCATTGATGTTCCTCTCTCTTCATCTCCCTTCCTCTTTCTCTAAAATCAATAAAAATATATATTTAAAAAAAGAATAAATGCATTTATAATCTTGATTACTGAATCATCTTCCATATGTTATATCATTGTTGATTCCTACCAGTACCACATAAGAAGGCTTACTCTTCACAGCCTCAATAGTATGTTTAGCATCTGAATTTTTTAGATGACAAATGATCTCAATTGGCATTTTTCTTATTATGAAGTTGACCATCTTATGTATTTCTTTGTTTATGTACTATTTATTCATGTCCATTTTTCTCTTAGAACGTTAGTTTTTTTATTTCTATGTGTTTTTTATTTCTCTGTGTTCTTTCTATGTTAAAGAATTCATCCTTTGTGTACATGATATAAGTTGCAAATATTTTTACCCAATTTATCTTTTGAAATTTTTATAGTGTTTTTTTTTTCCTGTGGTTGTTGTTTTCCAATTGGATATCTTTTAGTAGCTACTACCTATCTTTAGCTGCAGGTCCTGGCCTTCTCTGGTATGGTAGACCCCAAATTTCTCCTGTATCTCCAGACTGCATTTTGCCACGAGGGTAATGATGTCACTCAGTTGATTCTGTTCCACTGTCCAGAGTGCCAGGAGGACATTCCCTGCAGAGACAAAAGATAGGCTGACAGAGGTCAAATATCTGGACTCACTTGACCAGGACAAAGACCCCAATAATGCAGAAGGTATCATGCAAGGTGTCAGGCAAGGTTTCTTGGCTCTATATATTATGCTTGCTTAAAATATTGCTTTAGAGCCTCAAAATGACTTGAGCATATAAATAAAGATGACTAGGTAGAAGCTGAAATGTTACTAAGGTTTAAAGATAGTTTAAGGGTAGTTTAATAATAGTTTTGCTAATCTTCCTTCCACCAGTGTACTAAAAGATGATGAGGGGTACTTCATAAAATGTAGGTTCATATTCAAATATAATTTTATGGTTGGTTTAAGTTTAAATAAAAAGATGGTTCAACAGTGTGGCATAAAGCTGTTAATGATCCTAAGAGTTCTCCAGATAGGAGACTTTTTACTCCTCCCTGTCTTACATTTAGTTTCTGCTACTAATGACTAAGTTTCTCATTAGTTTACTCATGAATACTCTACAGGCACTTGTTTTTCTGTCATTCAATCTAAGCAAAATGTAAAGCAATGTGAGCTTAATATGGGCAAGGCTTTCCCATTAGACTTGGAGACCCCCAGAGATTGTGTCTTTCTTATCTTCATTTCTCCAGGCCCAGCACATATTAAATAACCAAACAATGTTGAATAAACAAATATGCCATACTCCACCTAAATATAGTCTTCCTCACGTAGTCCACAAAATATTCAGAAAAACTGAAATATACCTGTGATATTTAGGATATCTCCTCCAAAACAGAGTACATCTGAAATTGAGTAAGGGAGAGAGGAAAATAAGTCAAAATCAGAACTATACCAGATCATAGAAGAATCATATGTGATCAAAGAATGACCTACTGAGTTTTTCCTTATATCTTTTCAGGTCTTTGTGTGTATTTCAAGGCTCAGGTTCCTTCTCCCTTTCTTCTAGCTTCTCCTCAAATCCACCTTTACTTATATCACTTTCTCTAAAGTGGCAGAAATACTTCTGTTCCTTCAAAGCTACCCCTTTATTTGTCCTCTGGATCCTCGCCTGGCTTACCCTCTCAAGAACTTCACTCCCTCCCTTATCTTCTATTGGATCATTCCTAGAAATATTTTTTTTAAAATAAAACACAACAAAACAAAACTAACCTACTTATTTTTGACTTTAGCTTCTTCTCTAGCTATTAGGGCCATTTTTGTGCTACATTCCCAGTAAAAATATTCTCAAGAGTTGACTATATACAATTTTCTCCTCATATCCTATTCATTCAATTTTTTTCTCTACCATTCTCTTCTCAGCTTACTCCAATCTGACTTACATCTCTGTCACTTCACTAAAATTATCAAAATCATCAACAGCATTCATCTTGCTAAATTCAGTATTTTCTGATCTCACTGTATTAGGCACCTTTCATTTTCAACTCAGCTAGCCACCACCTCTTCTTCTAGAGACACTACTTCCCCTTTGGTTACGTAAATACCACAATATTCTACACCTCATTGTCTGTCTTATAGACTCTTTTATAGGTTATTTCTCCCTAATCATAATCCTTGCCTGGAGTTTTTCAAGCCTCAGTCTTAGGATCTTTCTCTTTATTTATATTCTCCCCATCAACTCACACTTTGATTTCTCTATTTGAATGATTTATTGACATTTCAAGCTCAATATATTCAAAAAGAATCCTGATTTTCTTTCTCAAAGCTCAGACTTTCCCATTTTGGTAGGTGATGCCACCATCAATTCAGTTATGAAAGCTGAAAACTTGAGAGTCCCTTTCCTCACTACTTCCCACTGAAAAAATAATCAGCCCGGCTGGTGTGGCTCAGTGGTTGAGCATTGGCCTATGAACCAGGTCACAGTTCAATTCCCAGTCAGGGCACATGCCCGGGCTGTGGGCTCAGTCCTCAGTGTGAGGCACGCAGGAGGCAGCAAAATAATGATTCTCTCTCATCACTGATGTTTCTATATCTCTAGCTCTCTCCTTTCCTCTCTGAAATCAATAAAAATATATTTAAAAAAAAAGAAAAGAAAAAATACATCAGCTAATCCTGTCTGTTGAACCTGCAAAATATACAGGGTGTCCCCCCCACCCCCCCGCAAATGTATACACACTTTAACAGCTGGTAGCTTAATTTTAAAAATAAAATTTGTTTTAATAGACACTGTCTTTATATAATTATTCAAAGTATGTGTATATGTTTTTTGGGGACACCCTATATATAAAATCAATCCATCGCCATACGACTCCACTGCCATATCTTGAGATCAATATTTTCAACCTTGACTGTGCAATGGAATTGCCTGTAAAACTTTTAAAATTCCAACTCCTGGGCCTACATCAAGATAGTATGATTTAACTGATGTAGACATCAGGACTTTGAAAAGCTCCCCAAGTGGTTATCTAACATGCTGCCAAGGTTGAGAACCACTACCCTAGACGAAATCTCCATCATCTTTCACAGCTGTCCCAATGATCTCTTCCAGCTTCCATTGTTACCACCTACCCTTCTTCAGCTCCCTATAATCCAATCTCCCCGAGGCAGCTAACTTGAGCTTTAAAAAAATGTAAATCAGATCATACTCCCTTGTGGGAAGATTTCTAGTTTCCCTTTGTACTGACATGTATAATCCAAACTCCTTACTATGGCCTATACAGCTTGATGATCTCCAACCTCACCTCAAGCCACTTTTCTTCCACTAGCTATGCCCTAGCCCAGGGAGGGGAACCTTTTTTCTGCCAAGGGCCATTTGGATATTTATAACATCATTTGTGGGCCATACAAAATTATCAACTTAAAAATCAGCCTGCTTTAATTAATTCATTCCTAATGCCTTGGCCGGGCCAGATCAAATGATTTCCTGGGCCTTATGTGGCCCACAGGCCAGATGTTCCCCACCCCGGCTCTAGCCACACTGGCCTTCTCACTTCCCAGAATATGCCAAGTTTTCTCCCATCTCAGAAACTTTGTACTTGGCTTTCTTCCATCTGAAATGCTGTACACTTGGCTCTTCACAACGTGTTCCTTTCATCACTTACCTCTCAGCCTAAACACCCCCTCTGATTACCCTAATATAGAAACGCTCACCCTATAATTCTTCTTTTTAAACCATCACACCCTATTTATTTCCTTTGTACAATGTATAATCTATAATTGTTCATTATTTGTCTATCCCACAAGGACAGGTACTATGTCTTATGTACCTGTATTTCTAGTACCCAGAAGTTCCTGATGTTACAATTCCTAATTCATAACTTCTATCTCCCCCTTTCATCTACACTTGGTGAGAAGAATTGAAAGACCTTTAACACTTGCTCCTCAGGGGTTAGGGGTCGGTCAAATAATCATTTCTAAAGGAGACAGCGCAAAGTTAGTATTCCGGTGACTCTCAGAATGATGGACATAATTGCATGGGGCACCGTCCGTCAAGAATGGGAATATTATATAGGTACTAAAGGGTATAGGGCCAGAGTAATTTCTGTTGGGTAGGCCTAACCAGACTGAAAGGTGAACAACAGGGTTTTGCACCCTCTGCACCTATTATAGTGCATGTCACAGAGTGGGCACTCAAAAACACGTTTACTGAACAAAGGAGTTTCTTTTCCAAATTAGGCAAATATGCATGAGCTTAATACATGGCAGAAAATAAACACCCATTCCTACCTCACAGGACCAAAATGCAATGCTGGCATGGGAAGGTGTTTTCTAAATTTGACATACACACATGAGGCATGTTACATTATTGTTAGAAGAGACAACCTGAGGAATGCTTTATTTTGAAATAAAACACAAACATGCAAAGTTAAAACTAGCTGTTCTTCTGTTTCTGAACATTGAGTCAACGGGATGTGAGACTGGACAGAATGGCAGATACAAAGATCTAGCTTGTCGGAACAAATGTGAGTAACACTGAAAGAATGGTCCTTCAGTGTCCCTTCTAAGGTACCCCAGGACCCCTGCTATCGCCAACCCGCGGGAGCCCAGGCCACGCCTCCTTGCCCCCCTGCAATGGCCACTCACGCTCGATGATGTCACTAATGTAATAACTGAAAATGTGGGCCAGTTTGTCCAGGTCATCTTCCGACTTGCAGGTCAGGCTGAACCTGTCCATCAATGCTGTGAACCCTAGCCAACAAAGCAGAGATGATTACGTTAGCTGACAATCCTCAACTTTTAATGCCTCCACGTGTCAGACCCGGGTAAAGGGAGCAGATGTCTTTTTTTTTTTTTTAAAATATGTTTTATTGATTTTTTACAGAGAGGGAGAGGGATAGTTAGAAACATCGATGAGAGAGAAACATCGATCAGCTGCCTCCTGCACACCTCCTACTGGGGATGTGCCCGCAACCAAGGTACATGCCCTTGACCGGAATCGAACCTGGGACCCTTCAGTCCACAGGCCGATGCTCTATCCATTGAGCCAAACCGGTTAAGATGGGAGCAGATGTCTTGGGCTTTAGCAACCCCATCGTCCTTTCAGGGGGTGGGGAAGTCGGGGTTCACTGCTCCAGGAGCTGCAGACGGTGAAGCCAGCGCCCCCTCGCCCACCCTTCCCTGAGGCGCCCCGGCCGAGGGACCCCAGGATTTCTCCCCACGTGAGAGGCAGGCAGCACACGGGAACAGGTTCATGCTTGGTGGAGAGCTCGTGGTTTGAGCTCCTTGAATCTCTCATCTTCATGACACACATGCTCCCTAGACACCCGTTAAATGAACAGACTCTCAGTGTTGAGTCTCAATTTCATGCTTTCTGAAGAGAACCCAAGGGCTAAGCCAAAGCATCCCTAGCGGCGTCCTCCTGCTCGGAAACGGCGCTGGTCCCGCGGGCGACCGGCAGAGAAAGGCGCCTGAGCTCCCGGGGCTCTGGGAGCGGAGGCCCAACGGCCGCCGCCGGGGCGGGCCGGGGAGCGACGCGCCTGCCCTCGCCCTCACCCGTCACGTGGACGCCAAGGAGGACGCCCTGGGCCGTGGCCAGCTCGGGTTCTGGTGCCCGGGGCTTCCGGAAGACCAGCAGGTCGGGAAGTAGCGCCGCCAACCGGGCCTCCACCGGCCACAAAAGCGGCGCTCTCTCCCGGTCGCCGGTCGCCATGACGGCGGCGGGGTTGCCCGCCGACCTACCGGAAACAGGGCCCCCCGAGTAGCAGCCAATTAGCGTGGCGGTCCTGGCGGGGCCCTCCCACCAACCAATCAGTGTGGGCTTTCTTGCGGCACCGCCCCACCTGCCTCCGGCCGCCGCTGCCTTTGCTCTGGGTTCCGGGGCGGAAGGCGGGGCTGCTAAGAGCAGGGCTTTCAGAACCGCAATGCCCTCGTGTTTTCATGAAATATGGTAGTGAAGATGCTTCTACCACAAAGAAGATCTGGGGTAAATATAGTAGTGGTCTTTGCGTCATATCACGGGTAGAAACGGGTCATCTCTGAATTTCTAAGGACAAGTTCCTTAGGCATTTGGCTAAAGCAAACTCAGGATGGTTTTTAAACTAAACAGTTACACTAAGGTTATTTTACTCTTGGCCCAATACAAAAAGTAAATTGTTAGGGGAGAGATTCTTCTATTTCTGTGGTCTGCCAGGATTGATCAATCCGGTCTCCCATGGGAGGGCTCCCAGTGGCTGTTATTCTCTTAATTCCTGACTTCCGTATGATAATGACATACTTAAGTTTCCAATCTGTTGCTCAGATTCCAAGAGAACACAAAGCAGTACAACTGAGTACACGTGGATTTTTAACAATCAGAAAAGTATTTTTGTCTTTCCTGCAGAAGTAAAAATCTAAACATTTTCATTTTCACTATAGTTCTACAACACCTAATAAATCAATGCCATTTGGTGGGTTAATTTTACTCAAGGTATTCTTTGCATTTTGATAACACTTCCAGTAAGACCAAATATATGATCAGCCCACAGATGACAGAAAATACCTGTCAGCAGAGTGGGAAGGCCAAAAGGGAAGGAAAAGAGATTAAAGGAAGGAGCTAGGTAAGAGGCCTGGACACTACATATGTCTTATCTACAGAGATCAATTTCAACATTATAAACAACCTAGAACCCAGGGGATGTAGACTTCTCAAAATTCAAATCACTTTCTCATAAATTTATTTTTAAAAATAACAATTGTAATGACATCAATGATCAGATCACCTGTACTCCCCCTACTGCTGAGGGGAAAATATATATAATTGAGTCCCAAAGGAAAATCAAGACATTATTATCAGGCACTCAATAGCCAAAAATGTTGTTGGTCCAGTGATATAGACACTGACATGTTCAATGTACCAATACAATTAAAATATATACAATTATCCTGCAAAAAAAAAAGCATTCATGAAGTGAAGTAACTATTAAGCCAATTATTCACTCATCCATTCACTCTATATCTAAAAGTCATCACTACAGTCAAAATGAAAAATGAATAGAAGAACTTCTAGCAACAAATAAAGAAAAAAATCCAAACCTTAATCCACCTCACCCCCACTTTGTGGGTTATTATGATATGCTAAAAATGACCACAATAAAAGGGCCATGAATTAGCTGAAATGCAATGACAATAATGACAACTGAAGCATTAAATTTCAAGGAAAACTCAAATGCATGAAAAAATTCCGCAACAATGAGATTGGAATTACTATGTACAAACTTACAGACACAAATAAATAGCATTTTAGAACTATTGGCTTAAGTACTAGAAATTAGGTCTGAGGAATCTCTTTCTGAACTCTGCATCTTAAAGATTCCTAAACAAACCAAGGGCTATAAATTTCTCATTGTTTTTAGTAATCTGTCATTTGACAAATTTGGGGATTACTGGATAAATTAACATCTAAAACGCATGTAATGAGCCAGAAGTTTCTAGTGAGTCTACCAAAGAATAAGTCTCCATTCCTGACATCTGGAAGCCAGGAGATGATTCTGTTTCAGGAATTAGAAATATATTTCATTTCCTGTTTTCTTTGCATAGCTCTGTACCTCTATTTAGACCATTACAATGCTTATGATGTTTTCTTTAGAGAGTGAAATACTTTTTATCTCTTAATACAATTAGAGTAAAATATAAAAAGAGCCAATCTTTACTCTTGGTTATTAAGTCAAAAAGAATTAAGTTTTCCTTCTTTGTTTCCAGAGTAGGCAGAAACTCTTCTGAAGTATCACCTTACTTCTACCAGGCTTCAACATCTAGAAAAGAAATGAGACACAACCCATTCTGGGAACTGTGGCCCAATTCCTTACACTACAGGCATCTCTAGTTCCAGTCTGTAATTTGTCCCCAAAATGTAGATGCAAAGTGAAAACCTTCCTGCACAGGGCATATGGAGAAAGGGGGAAGCAAATGGAAGCTGGCACCAATGAGTCAGCTGCCATGGGAAACATGAGAATGTCCGTTTTCTGGGTCCAGCACAAAGCACTTGCAGGAGTGAAGCCAACATCCACGTTAAGTTCTAGGAAGTAACCTGGAGAACGTCTAGGACAGCTTGATTGAACAGTGCTTTCCAGAAAGTGTCAAAGACCAAATCTGAGACTTCTCTCTTTCGGTTGTTAAAAGATTATAGTGTAAATGTAAATTAGTCTCTTCATCTTAATGATCCATCCCAGGCATCCATCAACTGAAGAATCATGCTATATGACAACACATGGGTATATTACCTCTCTTTCTTCTTCTAGACTGAAACACACACAAACCCTTCTATTTTCCAAATGCTGTCACCAAGCCTATGATTGAAAATCTCTAGTTTGCCTCTCTGTTTAGGAGTTACTACAAATGTCCTCAGCACTTCAGCATAGTTGTATTGTTTTGTTCTCTACTTAGGAAAGGAAGTTTCAAGGTCCAGTACCTTCTAAATTGTCTTACAAGTAACCATAGTAAGAACTATGGTCCAGATGACCTGTCAACAGATGGACAAGCAGACCACAACTGGCCAAAATGAAAAAAGATTCAGCAATTATTTTTAGTGCTTGATTCTTTTATCATTCTATCCCCAGAATTAGCTTTTTCTTGGCTTGGAGTCCAAAAATACCAACCTATCATCTGCGCAGACAGAGATTCTTATTATTACCACAGATTAGATGAAAGCATCTCAGAGAATTTATTATTTCCATGAGATTGAACTTCCATGCCTGGAAGTCATCTCTGAATACAGTGTTCATTCACTTAGCCTGAGATGGTGTTTAGAGTCCATGGGAAGGAGTGGGCTTCAGCTTCCCGGATTGTAGTTTAGCTTGAGAAGGTTGTTCTCCCCTGCTCAGATGGTTGGCTGGCTTCACCAGTCAACATCTAAGTGCTGTGTGTGGTACTGTTGGGCTGGCATGAGTCCTTCGCATCATCCTAGTCCATGAAACGTCAATGTCATCAACAGTCTAAAATAAGTCCTGACTGAAAGGGTGAGACAAAGCCTTGCAACTTCAATTTGCCAGACACCGCTGCAATTATAATACCAAGCCACTTTGAAAAACTAAGTGGGTTTCTGTCCTGTAGAAAAGGGCAGAATGTGATCATCAGTGTCCCATCGGAAGAAGTGATCAATTTCCTGGAACAGTGGTGAGGAACATGACCTTGATCATCTCCATCACATGGCCTGGGGTTAGGATACTCGGATGATCTGTGTCATTGCTTCTTCATCTGCTTGGTTTGGATCCTAGAGACAAAGAAAGCATAATCATGATTAAAGTACTTTGCAAAAGCAACAGGAACTGTGGCTCTCACTACTTTATCACCAAGGACATAGATACAACTTTGCCAAGAAAACCAAAGGTCTGCTTGCAAGTCTGCATAAATGGATTAAAATGCAGCTCCATTTGGAAATGAGACAATAAACCTTATTCTTAAAAGGATTAAAAATCTGATCTGGCCTGCCACTCCATTACTGAACACTCCAGAGTTGATAGCACACCTATGTTGTGCTCTACCTTTACTGTTTAAGGGTCCTTAGAGGTGGCTAAGAGAAAGACCAAGAAAAGCCATGTCATACTATATCTATATTAAAATATATTTTTACTAGACGCCCGGCGCACGAATTTGTGCATGGGTGGGGTCCCTCTGGGTGGCCTGCAGGGATCGGGCCGAAACCCACAGTCCAACGCCGCCTGCAACTCCTACCTGCCACTCCCGCTCATCCTGGCCCCACTGTGCCTGCCGTGGGCTCGTGCCCAATCAGTCCCGGGAGAGGCTCGCGCTGCCACAGCAGTGCTCACCAGCCATGAGCCCTGCGTCTGGCGCCCTCCCAAGGGGAGTAGCCTGTGGGATCGGGCTGAAACCGGCTCTCCGACATCCCTCAAGGGGTGCGGGATTGTGAGAGGGCATAGGCCAGACTGAGAGAACCCACGGGTGCACAATCAGGCCGGGGAGGGACCGCGGGAGGGCTCCAGGGTGTGTCTGGCCCATCTTGCTCAGTCCTGATCAACAGCAAGCTAACCTACCAGTTAGAGCATCTGCCCCATGATGGTCAGTGTATGTCATAGCAACTGGTCGACCAGTTGACTGTTTGCCCCCTGGTGGTCAGTGCACATCATAGCGAGCAGTTGGGGATCCTTAGCATATCATTAGCATATTACTTTTTAAAAAAAATAAAAATCTATTTTATTGATTTCTTTTTACAGAGAGGAAGGGAGAGGGATAGAGAGTTAGAAACATCTATGAGAGAGAAACATCCATCAGCTGCCTCCTGCACAGCCCCTACTGGCGATGTGCCCTCAACCAAGGTACATGCCCTTGACCGGAATCGAACCTGGGACCCTTCAGTCCGCAGGCCGATGCTCAACCCACTGAGCCAAACTGGTTAGGGCACATATTACGTTTTGATTGGTTGTTCAGTTGTTCTGCAGTTCGGTCTATTTGCATATTACCATTTTATTATATAGGACTGATTTCAGAGAGAGGAGAGAGATAGGAACATCAATGATGAAGTAGATTGCCTGACTCCTGCATGCCCCACAATGGGGATCGAACCCACAGCCCGGGCATGTGCCCTGACTGGGAATCAAACCGTGACCTCCTGGTTCATAGGTCGAGGCTCAACCACTGAGTCATGCCAGTCAGACATGCTGTGTGTGTGTGTGTGTGTGTGTGTGTGTGTATACTTTTTGGTCATTATTTTCTAATCATTATATTTAAATGCTGAGCACTTAGCAGAGCTAAGTGACATTGGGATTTATTTACTTTGACGCACTTTGTTAAAAGGTTACAGTGTACCTAGAAGTTAGATAAACCTGATTCCCAGATGGGTATAAGTGATTTGC